AACTCAGTATGAAAACTTTAACAACAACACGTACTGAGGAAGTCTGAAATTTTGTTGGATACACTAGAATGCTGTTTGAAACATTTTCTGTGGGCCAAATTATGCCAAACAAGGCTGTTTACATTTGAAAAACAATGAATAAAAAATACTTTTAAAAATAATTATCAAAAATTCCCCACTGATTACAGATTAAATCAAAACAAGGCAGGGCCTTCTCTGAGTATTAAAATTGAATTAAATATCAACAAAATGCAAATGTTGGCAGAAAAATGGAAATTGGCAGGTCAACTTATTTGCCCATAGAATAGAAAACTCTGTCAGTTATTTCCATAGCATCAAGTTGTGTTTGTATATCTATATACAATATAGATCTATTAGACAATGTCATAATGTCATAACTCTATGGTTGATAATAAAAGCTTCCACTGCTTCCTGGATCTTGCTGGCTACCATGTTGGCTAAACAGCTGGGCATAAACACCCTCAGCAGCCTGAGGTGCAACTTGCATTGGGTTTTGATAGAACAAATTCTTATTTACAGGTGCACATACTGCATAAGGTTGTTGCAATGCTTGTGATAGCATCTCGATTGATCGACAAACTCCTGCACCTAGATCAGTCATAGCTTTACTAACACTTTCAATACTATGAGAAAAACTTGTTGTAGACTCCCGCATTGCCTCAGCAAGGTCCTTTCGAAATTGGGCATCTTCCTTAGCTTCTTTAATAAGCAACCCATCCCTCTGGGCAGCAGAAAGCTTTTTTTCCAAATGCTTTCTTTTGTTGTCGATTAGCTTTGGTACACAGTTAGCTTTGCGTTTGTTACCAGGTGCCACATCGCCACTTGCACTACCCCCATCATCTCCAGGGCCTAGATCACTTGAACCAGCTGAAGTACCTGCAGTTTCCAAATCCAAACTTAAGCTGTCATCTTCTGGATTGTGACATTGGACAACTTCATTGTCTTCAGGAAAATCATCTCCTCCTACACCATAAGAAAGGGGCTCTGTTCCGGCAGAACCACCCCACAATGTTATCAGTTTGTCGTAAAATTCGTAAACAAGTTTTCCACTGCCACTCCTACTTCCAGAAACTACAGCTTTAGAGACACTCTGTCTGATTTCCTTCACCTTTTCCATCACTCTCTTCTGTCCTTTCGTTATCATATCTTTTGACTCTTTTACACGATGCTTTGCTTTGGCCTGCTCTTCCTTTGAACGGGTTTTGAAATCATCCGGTAACTTGAAAGCAGCCACAGGACCAAATATAGATTCATCGTCCTCATGAAGCTTCGCCATGTCCACTCGCAGTTCTTGGTACTGAATTTGTTTATCAGCGTCGAAATCAAGGTTTCTATAGGCCATTTTTGATTTGTATTCAAGTAAACAGTCGATCAACTGCCTTACCGTGTCTGTTTCCCAACGGAATCTCTTTGAAGTCAAGGTGGAAGACACTTCGCCATCCGCCATGTTTGCACGCATTGTAGGTCGCGTGAGCTGCATTCCGTTTAGTCAGCGTCCTTACAAGGCATGCGTAGTTGAAAAATTTTCATCCCGGTAACCGGGCTGGAGTGTTCATATGGGAAAATATTTCATCCCGGTTACCGAGATCTTGGTTTCTACAACCGAGATCTCGGTAACCGGGCTGGCCCCCCTTCTCATATGAACACATCGAAATTTTTACAAAGGAAATAGGAGTGAGGCGAGATCTCGGTAACCGGGCTCATATGAAGAGGCCCTTAGAGGGTTTTAATGGAGTTAACCATTAGCTGTAAAACAGCAAAATCAACTAGCCCCTTGGCATGAAAATTAGACAATTTTAACCATTAGTGGTAAAAAATGTAACATTTTTTCTTTTAAAATTAACATAAATAAATAAATCATTGGCTGTAAAATCTGTCACCCTATTATTGTTTAATTAATCTTTGTATTTGCAAGTAAGATTATACCCATGCAAATGACTCATCTAAAAACTACAAGTGTATTATATTATTAAATTGTCCCCTTGGCAAGACACATAAACATAATTCATAAGAAATGATTGTACTTCACTTGCATCCTAAGGATGCCTCGTGTCTCTAATAGCCCCAACCATATGATTTTGCAAGCGAGCAAGCGACCAGAGGTATTTAATTTGACAGTCTGGACTTGTCTATTGATAATTATAACCCATGCAGTAATTTTCGCAAAACTCTTTCGGCTACTTTGTCACATGGTGCAAGATTATTGCACAGTTATCATACAATAAGCCCCGTCTAGGTTTATATTGGTCCCCTGATCATTTGTGTCAAAGAGAAACACAAGAGGCTTAAAATAAGCAACCCAAGACTCTCACTTTTTCATCTTTATTACTCCACATGTAAGAAAAACTTGTTTTGTTTACAGATAAAAAAAGGAGATTTCATATACTGCTTTGGAAAGTACATGATAATCAATACAGTGTGCAATCAACATAGAGTACAACAATTTATAGGAAGGTTGACATGACTAACACTCTACTGGCTTGCTGAAGTATCTGCTGATAATGTCCTCTGCATGGAGATTGTCCTCCAAATTGTATATTTGCCCTCAAGCTTTTCTTCTAGGATTCTTCTGGGATTGATTCTCTCTAGTACGCCTTCAGAAGGTCTACCACTGTCTGTTTGTCAAGCCTTTAGACAGCCAGACCTTTGATTTCCTGTGCAGCTATGCTTTCCTTAATTAAGTAAGCATGATTTGTAAGCCTCTGCCATGTGCACTTGGTTGCCAAATCACTGAACCAAAAGTTTCATGCTATGGTGTATGCGCTTTCAGAACTAGCAGGTAGAAATCCCCTTACAATCTCATTTGCTCTTTCTTCCGTGTATTTTCATGAAATAGAGGCAATCTTTATTTGATGACATGTTTTCTGAATTGATGAAGTCAAACGCCCTTGTAAATACCATCGAAAACACCCAATAGTCAAAAGCATTTCCTGATAGCAGATAACAGGTTGTTCTTTAGCTGACAGAATGTTTCGCTTTTGCTGTTCTACTAGTAGAGAACTAACTTCTGCTTGTTTGGTCAGCAAGTTTATTAGTTGCCCTAATGTTTCTTTTAAAGGTGTTTTGTAATGAATTGGCTTGATCAATTTCTTGCTTAATTGCAAAATCTTCTCATTGTTGTGTTTTCATTGGCACCATGGTGGGCAAACTGTCAGGATTATCTTGAATATGAGTTGGCGTGACTTTTGGTTTTGTTTCTGCGGTTTCTCATGTGTGATGGAGTGTAGAGACTGGGATAAATGATGGATTTAGTGGCTCTTGTTTTATGGCAATTTCCTTTCATTTGTTGATTGGAGCCTCATTAATTGCCTTTCTTTGGCTCCAGTGATAGCGATTTCCTCCATTAACTGCTATTTCACTGTTAGCCTTGCAGTCTTGGTGGCTCATGATTGACTCAATTTTGGTGTTTCCAGTTGCTTCAGAGAGTGAATTTGTTCTACAAGTTTTAATCTCATTTCCAAATAATTTCTGTCACAGCTGTTGTACCAAAGATAAGAGGCTTTTCTATCTTCTTTGTTAATAAGCTCATCCTATGCTCCATGAGCTTTGTTAAAGGCATCTTTTAGTTTGTCTGAGCGATCTCTTCTTGAGCTTTCAAATCCTTTTTTTTTGGTTTAACAACTTACAGATGTTTCCCATGTGTGTTGAGCGAGCATTTTGGCATGCTTTACCACTAATTTCTGTCCGACATGTCTTACCTTTTTCTGTTAATTTCTTTTTGTGCCCTTGCGTCTTACCACATCCACATCAGAGTTTGAGAGGTGCTCAATGCTGGGTGAATCATCCCATTGTTTAGAGTTGGTCTCTGTTTCTTAGATTTGGTTTTGTTGTTCCACATTTTCTCAGGATGAGCTTGACATTTGAAGAGGTTTGATCCAACAATTCATATTAAGTGTCTTACTTTAGCAGCCAACACAAGTGAAGCAAAGTTTTGATAACAACTATGAGTTTCACAAATGGAGACAAACTATGAAGCGAGAATATATTTTATGGACAGGCCTTAATACATTTATTTAATGTAGTCAAGGTATCCAAGTACTTATCATAAACTGAAATATGAATATTATAAGGCATCACCCAGAATGCTATTGTCTTTCATGACATGTACTTGCAGTACCCATTTACCCACCAGCGAGTGGCATAATAACTTGCATATCTTGAACTAGTCGGCTGTGATTGGTCAGCAGATTAAGCTTTGGGAATACATGAGTCAGATCTTAGATTTCAGCTGCTGTCAATCAAATGGTTGGATGCGTAAAGAAAATCCCAAGGTGAGATAAAGTGAACAATAGCAATAATTGACAATAGCCACACTGTTAACTTAGTGTTTAGTAAATTCGTTAGCTGTGAATTCTTGTTTAACTCTATAGACTGACAGACTCCCGTTGGTCAAAATGTTATTGGAATTCTAGAAATTAGTATCATGGAAATAGAAAATAGAGAAATATAGTAATAGTATCGTGAAGAATAGGCCATTTAAAAAGCGTAACTCACAATCAGGTGGTTTTTGAGTGAAAAAGGCTTGCAGTTGCAGACTGAGAACAAAAAAATGCGTAATTGAAGGCTATAAAAGGCAGTGCTCAGAAAGCCAGCTAACCTGTGGTCAAGTGAAATTTTAGTTTCATTCAATCTTTGTCTTAAATGTGGTTGTGGTGCGCTCCTGTAATAAAGAGAATACGGAGTGTGAAAAAAATAGCCTAAGCACAGTTTTATAGCGAGCGTGATGCATGGGTCACTTGCTTTTACTTGACACTTGCGTTGTCATACTTCATGGAAAAATTTTGGTGGCTAAACAGGGCTTTTCTTCCTTGTTTATCCATCAAGAAGAAGGGTTACACTATGACAGAAAAACAACAATTGCAGAGACTTCAGTGGAACCCCGTCAATACCGCCACCAATGGGCCATGGAAATCTATCCATATTGGTGGGAGTAATATCATTGACTTGTACTTCACACTCATGCTCTTTTACTCCACCAATTAACGCAGTCCAACCAAACAGAAGAAAAAAACAAGCAAACTAACTAACAAACGGCTGCCTTGAACAGGTTGATGACCAAGGGAACAGTTACGAAATTATTCAAATTTGAATCCATTTTGATTAATCAAAACATGTAAATAGTACAGTTTCGTTCAATCCAATCAGTTGGTAAAACTTATTTTCAACACCATGTTGAAGTGTGCGAGACATCAGCCAGGCCTTTATGCAACATTATTGAATGATGTCTGCCATAGTGGCTTTAATTTGAAACACCGACCAAAGGTAAAACCTACTGTTATGGGTGTTTATGAAAGTCAACATATTTTAGCAAAATGAGTTCAAGGAGGCAGAGCAGTGTACTTCATCCAATGGCAAAACTACTCCCAAGTGAAAGTACGTGAGACCCAGCTGAGCACTTGCCTAAAGAACTCATCACTGCCTTCCAGAACAGATCTTTCGATTCATTTTGTGCTGATGAATGCTGAGAGAGACTAGCTCTTCTATTTGCGATGGGTTTAAAATCGCCTCTGGCATGAAATGAAACTATCATGATGTGGCACGATGTAGTGCGAGTACTCTTTCCTGGTTTGCTGTCAGACCTCCATGGGCCTCTGTACCTTGCCATTGAAGAAGAACTGATAGCAGCAGGCCTTAGTCCTTATCTGAAGAAGTGTCTAACATTAACAGGCAATGGGTGTTGCATCGATCCTCTAGTCAACTTGAAGCTGCTTCTTGGTAATTTGCTTTCCTTCATAGATGAACAAGGCCACAAAACAGCTCCCTGCCCAGTAGAGAAAGTTCAGATCAATTTTATGAAGAGTCATTTTGCTGAATGCATCTAGTGAACAAAATGCTGCTTTTAGCAGCCACCAAACGGAATAAAAGTTTAGGAGCAACAGTGGCATTCATTTGTAGCTACACAGTTACTTATTGATAAGTTGAGACAGCTTTTCCAGATAACATATTTATTTAATTTCTACAAATATACCATTGCGGCTCCCAGGATGACACTATGTCTGCGAACCTACAGAAAAAAAGACATTGGTCTTAATTCTTAACAGTCCAATTGTTTTCTCTGAATAAACTTTTCTGATGTTGAGGGCAGATTGGTCAAAAAATTAGACGTAAGTGGATAATTACTAACATCATGCCACAACTTTGGGCTCAATTACAGACTTGAGAGAGTGGTGGAGATCAATGGAATCACGCCTACGATAGCTACAACTAGCATTATTGTTCATTTTTCCTGAGATACATTTTTTAAGAATACTTAACGCAAAATAGTCATTTACTGGTATTCTGGTTCTCCAGAATTTCCTGGATGACTGGCTGAAAGGCCACAAACTGGAGTGCCAGCAACACCATAAACATAAAGTCCCTGTTTAAAGTTGACAGCTAACATACAGTAATGAGTTCCAGAAATGACCAGTAGAATAATAAACTTCAATTTTTTTTTCTCTTTGAAGAGCATAAAATAAATCCACAAGATACTAACCATCTCACAAGGAGATCCATTTGTTGGGTGACCTAAATTCAGGGATATTAAAAAGATTTAGTCCAAATACATGCCATTTGCAAGTTTCAAAACATGATTTGTGAGATTTCTCTGTTTGAGAAATTGATATGAAAATAGATATTTATTATTAATATCTGTAGAGACCCAGTGTCTCTACTTTGTGATCGAGGACAACAAAATACTTAGATATGTGTTGAACTGTATTATTATTCCATGTAAAGTGGCAAACAAACTTCCATCACACCGAGCAAATGAACTGGAACAAACAAATAAACTAGCTAACCAACAATTAATCAACGAACAATTCACTGAAAGAAATACAATACACTGAAATTAGGACATAATATGGCAAACAAAGAAACTAGCCAAAAAAATAGGCATATATGATGTACTGACAAGTTCTTTGTGCCTAGATTACAGAGAAACCAAATAAGCTCGTAAACACAAATTTCAAAACATGCCATGTGCTTTCATCAAACTCAACATCTCAAAATGCATAAGCAATCAACGAGGCCAGCAGTTCATTGTATTTAAGCTGTCCTAAAGTGTCCTACTTGAAGCCAACAATATTTGTTGAAATAAACAAGAATAAATTCTACTTACACCATCTGACTGGGTCAAGTGCCCTTCCAGTAAATTAAACTTACAGTAAATTAGTAATCAGCAAGGTTAGCAAGGAGCCATGTCAGCTTGAGGTTCTGAATGACGCACTTGTTGTGCTGACTGTTGTGCAAGTTGTTGGACGGTCTGTAACAAAGCTTGCTTAAGAGGGGTGTGAAATGGTTGAGGAACTACGTGAGCTTTGAATGATGTACACGTATAGGGTGTTTGCTGCTCACTTACCTGCTGTTCTGGAGGGGATGAACTCTCTTTCCTTTTGGCACTTTAGGACAGCTTAAATACAGTGGGCATGTTGTCTTTTTCAGTGGGTGTACAGATGATGCGTGAGATTTCTCTGTTTGAGAAATTGATATGAAAAGAAAGATTTATAATTCACATTTGTAGAGACCCAGTGTCTCTACTTCGTGATTAAGGAGAACTGAATACTTTGATATGCATTAAACTGCATTATTATTCCATGTAAATTGGCAAACAAACTTCCATCATGCCAAGCGAATGAACTGGAACAAATAAGTAAACTAGCTAACCAAGGATTAACCCACGAACGATTCACTAAAAGATATACAATACACTGAAATTAGGAAATAATACAGCGAACAAAGAAGCTAGCAAACAAAATAGACAGATATATGATGTACTTACAAGTTTTTTATGCCTAGATCACAGAGAAACCGAATAAACTTGAAAACACAAATTACAAAACATACCATGTGCTTTTATCAAACTCAACATCTCAAAAGGCAGAAAACAGTCAACGAGGCCAGCAGCTCACTGTATTTAAGCTGTCCTAAAGTGTCCTACTTGAAGCCAACAATATTTGTTAAAATAAATATGAATAAATTCTACTTACACCATCTGACTGGGTCAAGTTCTCTTCCAGTAGCTTAAACTTACAGTAAATTAGTAATCAGTAAATTCTACTTACACCATCTGACTGGGTCAAGTGCCCTTCCTGGTACACCCCCAGCTCTTCCAAAAAGTTGGAAACTTGGCTGTTAGTGAATGTGAGCTGCAAAATGAAATGTTTTGTGATCTTTAAAAACTATTCTATGTTCAAAGCTGAGCTCACGAATATGGCCTAGCTGCCAAGAGTCCAAATTAGGAAATAAAGAACTATTTACCGTTATTAACTGATCTTGAGATGACATGGTACTCAGTCTCACTGCTCTAACACAATGCGCAGGACAAAGGGACTCAGAGACTCAAGAGGTTACGAAGACTAACAACAATACTTCCGCCAAGTGGTTGTTTGCTAAGATTGTCTGCTTGCGTTCATTTTACGCAAGAAAGAAAATGGTAGCAACAGCAATTGAAATGTGGAAATTCTCAACATTTGGAAAGACCCTGGAAAAAGTAACGTCTTATAGTAATGATTATAAAGCTTATTAACTCGGGAATGCTCTACAAGTCCATCTATATATTTAAATTCTCATTTTGTTTTGCTGTTGTGAAATAAAATGCTTTTTAATACTTGTTAAGGATGGTCAACGGGTGTTTTATATTTGAATCCAGGCTTAAGATAACTTGGATTCTCATCAATTTACATGGTGCTATAAAAATTGGAATAGAGAGGAAAGGGAATAAAGTATTTTCATTATAGGGCTACTTCACCCACCACTCATTATGTTAAGCTTGGATAGAAACTGAGGAGAGCCTAATGGTATAAACACAGGCTCATGAATTGGTCATTGCTTTCATGTATTTGGTGGCTCCTAAAGGAGCCGTTGAGTCCTGTATGAGTGCAATGTCCAACACCACCATTAGACCTACGAGTAGTGGTTAGCTCCTAAAAGAGCTGTTTTGCTTCTTGGTACTTCAGTTTCAGGCTGTCACTCAGGTCTTTGTGGTAGGCAAAGCAAGGCATCAATAATGTCTTGTTTGCGCAGAGTTTTTTCTGTTGACAACATTTCCAGTTTTACTTTGAAGGAGTGCAAAGTTCTGTAACTTTTTTCTTCTTCAGTGTGCTTTCATTCATCAGTTCTTTGTTAGCAAATTCATTAGGTAGATTTGCAGATTCAGTAGGGAGTTGTGCTGGCTCAGTGGACAGTTATGCAGATTCAGTGTGTAATTGTGGAGATGTTGAAACTCTTTGTACTTTTCTTGCAGATGTCTCTTTGCCACCCTCCACCCAATAGGAGAGCCTTGTCTTTGTGTAGGGGTACTTGGCTCTTTCTCTTTCTCTTTCTCTCAGTACTCCCCTCTGCTTTTCCACGAAGAGGAGGTTTGTTGCAGCATCCCACCTGTTGATTTTGCAGTGGAAATACCTACAAAGATAGTCATTCTTCTTCTCAGCACCTTTAAGAATAACATAGATTATGATTAACCAGGTTATCTTTAAGAAGTAAAAACATAAGCTTTTGGTTGCCAGCCTGTAGCCTTTGACAAATAAGTAATACCCAGCTAAAAAGAAGGTGTTGTAGAGAATTTAAAAGGACAGAGTATTGTTTTAAAAAGGACGGAGTTATTTTCTGCCTCAAATTTCTGCTTCATGATGTCAATCCTTTGAAATCTAACATAAAAACAAATGACCATATATTGTAATACATACCTTGGCCACTGAAGTGCCATAAACACGTTTTTTTTACGTTTACATACAATATAGAAATTAAGAAAGAAAGAAAAAGAGAAAAAGACACACACACACTAAAGTCCTGCATGATATCACCTCGTTCTGCACGATGGGAAGAAGCTAAGCTACATTGTAATGTGTGAACCAACGTTCCAATCATTCCAATATAAAGATGATCTGAAAACCTGCTAAAAGTAAAAACAAACTCACACAAAGACTATATCGTTAAGAGGATAAAAGAGAACCACTTGAAAACAAACTCCAACAGAAACCAATAGCCAAGTGGGAAAAAACATATAGTGTTCTAACAAAGTACAAACAACGTGAGCTAAGGTTACAAGTTTGCAAAAATGTCAAAAGGTTTGCAACATATCTAGCAGTAGGCTCTTAAACTTTGCCAGAATTAGGTCAGGGCCAGTTGATGAGTCAGATTGTAGAAGCTTCAGCTCATGTAAAACCTCATGGAATGAAACAAGCCTTAAGGTAAAGGTGTCATTTCTTGTCAGACTCTTCATGTTGTGATGCATTTATGAAGTCTATCGGATCTTCTTTAGTATCCAATGTGTCAACACCAGTAGTCCTTGTACCTGTAACTGGAAAGTGCTTATTGAGGGCATTTACATTGCACCTCAAAGGTGTTGGATTTGGGTGCAATATACAGTAGCTAACCTGCCATACCTCTTTGGGCTTTTTGAATGAGAGCTTTTGACAAACTTCATGTATTTTCCCTTAGGGTACAATTGTCACATATCTATTTAAAAGGACTGCGTGCTTTAGCTCCAAAGGTAAAATATCAATACAGTGAGCATGAGTCAGGGAAAGACATTTCTCACACAGTAATCTCTTACAGTTACTTGATTGTAGCAGATCTTGTTTTAGTTGTGGCTTGGGCTAGGGCTGGTGTTGACGTTGTCACTGGTACTTAGAACAAATATGGCTGGATTAAAGGAAGCTGTCTGCCTCAACGAATAAAATGTTTTTCTCTTTAAGAACTTCTGTCGTAGTAAAATACTAACAGGAGACTGAGGAGAAACAGCTTTCCATAGCATATTCAGCTTCTCTGACCTGCCAGAACAATTAGGCACCAAATGAGTGAGAGGTAATTTTTTAAAACCCTCTGAGAAATATTACTAGAAAATAGATCCTACTGAAGCCATTAATTATTAGGAACCGATTTGCTGATGAAGGGCCACTTAGAAATAGAAGAAATTGCAAGAAACTAGAGTAATAGACTGCAGCATAGAAAAGTCAATCTGAACACCATGCTGACCTCTGACCAAAGACTAAAGGTTCAAGAACTAAACAACTCCAGCCTTTGCTTAATGGCCAGTGTAATGTTACCACTTGTTTCAGTCACAAGTATTTTCATCACATCTATTTCACTCCAAATTCCATCAACCTTTGCCTCAAGAAACTTAACAATTTAATTTGCGAGTTTGTTTTAATCAGGGAATGATTGTTTATTCTCCACTGTTAGGAGCTTCATTGCTCTAAAGAGCTTTCCTGAATCCTCACTGTTTTCTTCCATGAATTGCGTGTAAAACTCACATTTTGCTGCATTCATTATAAAAGTAGCTTCATTTTTTGCTCTTCATTAAAGCATCCAGATCCTCAACATGTCTCATTTTGCTCCATTTTCTTTCTGCTTTCCTGTGCAGTTTCCCTGCCTTATTGATCACCTTGTTGTGCAGTGGGCCATACAACTTTAGTTGTGCTTTTTAAACAAGCATAAAGATCCAAAACTGAGATGCAGGTTTCTTACATATGTATAGAGAGAGCTGAAAACAGCATTTGTTATGTAGTGTGAAGATCCTTTTCTGGGGTAGAAAGAGGGGAGGTAGTGCCCTATTATTGGCTATTAATTCAATACTTATTACTAGATGCTATTTCCATTTTTTTCAATTTTGACTTGATTAAATTTTTTGTGTGGTTAAAGGGTTGAAGTGGGGTGAGTCATTTGCTGAATAGGCTGTCTTCTTATGTTTTCTTTCTCTTAGTTAACAAATGATTCCAGGCTGAGATGACTTTAATTATAAACAGCCCCAAGTGCCAGGGTGATGACACTTAACCCATGCAAGAAAATCAATTGCCTTTTTTCTTATCATCAAAAGAAAAAAAGTCAATACCAAAGCTTATTAGCAGATGAACTATTAATTTTATGGGGTTGTTAGAGTGGTTCTCATGAACCTGTAAGATTTACTTAAGCTTATTTTGTACCATTACCCTCCAATTTCTTTGTTTGCATTTGGAGTTTCAGGGCTAGTATATTTTAGTTAATATATTTTGGTTTATTGGTTTGAGTGGTTTCAGCACCGATTAACTGATAGTGTTTTGTGTGATTTTTTTCTGTGAAAGAATAGGGTAATGAACAGTTGGTGGTGTACTGTGAATCTTGTTTTTTTTAGTTCTTTATCAACCACTACAAACTGAATAGTCATATTTCTATTTCATGGGAAAATGAAAATCACTCTAAAACATGGGAAGGAACAAAAGGTGAGAAAGCATTGAGCATCTAATAACTTTTATGTGGTTCATCAGCAGTACCCCAGCTCATTGAAATCACTCTAATCAAAACCACTATTTATTTTTAAGGAATTAGCAATTTGTCAAAGTTCAAGTTATTTTTGTGAATCATATTCATATCTTAAAAAAGTTACTACTGTAACAGACTTAACATGGAAGATGAATAGTTAAAGTACATTACTCATCACTAAGAAAGTGTCCTTTTCGTACATTGTTTTCACATCTTTGATAAACAGCAAATGTTCTGCCAATGCATCTTCATCTAATGTTGTTTTACAAGAGCTGCGTCACTGACATCCGCATCATGCTAAAGATGATCTGTCCTAGAAAATACATCAGGAAACAGGTCTTTATCCCCTTGCAGTAGTTTCTTCAGGTCCTGGCATTGACTCTCTTCCAGGGTTGACAGCTTAGAGTCCAAGATTTGCAGTGCATTGGAGTTTGAGTTTTGTTGTGTCAGTGGGATTAAGATGACTACTAATAAGTTGGCTACTGAGCTGTTTGGGCTCAGAAACAACTCAGTTAACATTTGTAAGCTCTTTAACTAAATTACTTCTTTACTCTATATGGGGTTTCAACATATTTACATGACATAACTATGTAATTGGAACCTGATATATTTAAATGACACAA